GATGACCCTTGTGGTCTCTTCAACTCTATGGACCTTATCACACGCTGGCCACGAAGCGAAAAGAAACCAAAATAAGAATAAATTCAGTTCTATACCGAAATGAACTGAAATGCTTCACAATACGTATTGTGTGATCATATGTATTTCGCCTGCGCGGCCATTGCGCAATAATTCCGAAAGCTCGCTTGTACTTCCCCTATAAACCGAATGTCAAAAGATCTCAATTCGTTACGGATTAGCTCTGGGTTCTGTCGAGTTTCGCTGCAACGTCGTGTGGAAACACGGGGAACTAATACGGATTAGCTCCGGGTTTTGTCGAGTTTTGGTGCAACGTCGTGTGGAAACACAGGGAACTAATACGGATTAGCTATGGATACCCTTTGGATTAGGTCTGCTTTAGACCCCGTGTGATAAGGTCCCAAGACTCTATAATTCTAAGATGCTTATCTGCTCATATGTCCCCCAATTTTCTTCTGCTATTGGCCATGAGAATTAGTTCAGAAGCTTTCACTTCTGGTTCTGATTAGCTGCAGCTTATGACTTTATAGGTTTACAAATCTTCTTGTTGTTGTTGATCTCGACTCATGGCTGCCCTGTGGATGAGACATCTCCAAGCCCTGCTGTCTCCACTGCTTTGCTCAGGCCTTGCAGATTCAGTCAAGTGACCTCCCTGATATAAATATATCTCAGTTAATGAAGCAGATGTTTTGCCTAGCTAGGCATTAGTTCTTTAACAGAACGTTTGGTGCCAGAGGCAGAAATGACATGGAAAGAATAGAGACAGGTTCCTACACCACAAAATAGAAAAGAAGTTTAACATGTTTCAGCAAACTTTTCATTCAAAACTAACACGTGAAATGAGACAACCAGGTCAGGTAAGCCCTGCACAACTAAACAAAAACATTTTAAACATTTTTGGAAACCACCTGAATGCATTCAATGATTTTTTTTTATTATTTCATTAGCTTCCACTTTTCTTACTATTTCCAATTTGGTGGCCAAACTCTAGATCTATGCTTTTTTAACATGCGGGAGGGAAGCTGGGGAGGCAAACCTATCTTCTTGTTGTGTGCCTCTTAAGTTATTTTTTACTTATGGCGAATCTCTTCCCCTTTCTTTTTTTTACTGAATCCCATTGGGGGAGAAATGCGGGATATAAATCCTTTAAATAAATAAATACTGTCCCTTACACATTGAGTAATAGTTTCTGGAGATAGCTTGTGTGCCTTGCCAACTGTAAATGGCTCACACACAATCACAGCAGAATCAACTATGGTAAAATCCCACTCTTTTCCAGTTCAAGATTTGCTTGTTTCAACAAACCATAGTAAACATTAATCACAATTTAAGGCTTAACTTTAATGGAATTCAGAAGCAAAGTTTGTATACTCTTTATTGCAGAGACACTGGAGAAGAATGGAAATGCAAGCATGTGAAACACACAATGGCTTTCCCCCCCACCGTGAACATTTACTTTGGTATTAGAGCTAGTATTAGAGCTGGTGCATCCAATAGCTAAGTAGCATATAAAAACTGAGGTCATGAAGAGAGGTCTAAAGAAATATGAGGAAGTATTGTGAACATATGGATGGTATAAACAACTTTATTGAAATTATCAGCTCCCACCACCACTCTTCTTTCTTTCTTTCTCTCACACTCATTTCATACCCTTTCCTTCTTCTTCTTCCCATTTACAGTCAGCCTCTGTATCCACAGATTCTGCATCTATGGATTCAATCATCCATAGCTTGAAATATATATATATATATATATATATATATATATAAAACCCTTTTTGCCATTTTGTATAAGGGACACACCATTTTACTACGCCATTGTATATAATGTGACTAGAGCACCCATTGATTTTAGTATCCACAGGGGTTACTGGAACCAAACTGCAGCAGATACCAAAGGCTCACTAGATGTGTTCTTGAGCATTACCTCTTTTACAGAAACTTTGGTACCAGAGGCAGAAATAACATGGAAGGAACAGGGATAGGTTCTTGTACCACCAAAAAAAAAAAAAAAAAAAAAAGAGAAAGAAAAAAAGAAAGAAAGAAAGAAAATAAAAGCATGTCAATATGTTTCAGCAAACATTTTATTCAAAACTAACATTATGCACATGTAGAATGAAAAACAAAAACAAAAACAGGTCACGTCTTCTTCCCTTTCCATGCCACATCTTCCCAACCCTCTCCCTCTCAGGTAAAATAAATCCTCTGTCTAACTACAGAGCACATTTGTCCCCATTTACACTCTGCTTGCATGTTGGCAAAAATCACATTTCAGCAGCTGCCTCTCCTGTGAAGTTAAATCCAGTAGAGGTTGTCCCCAAAGTTATTACCCTCTTGGTGGGGAGGGAATGAGGAATCTACAATATGTTTTGCACACACAGGGCCTAGGCAGTGGTTACAAATAAAATGAAAATTTAAAAAGAACAAAAATACCCAAATGTGTGTTTGTGTGTATACGCCTTCAAGTTACCTTTTGACTTATGGTGACCCCATGAATTTCATAGAATTTTCCCAGGCAGGGACTACTCAGAAGTGGTTTGGCCAGTTTCTCCCTCTGAAATATAGCCTATAGCACCTGGTATGCCTTGGTGGTCTTCCATTCAAGTACTAACCACAGCTGGCCTTGCTTAGCTTCCGAGATCTGATGGGATCTGACACCTTTATGGCATTTAGGCTAAGCAATCCACACTGACAGAATCAACTCTAGTGCTAACCAACATATGTCAACAAATATGGAAAACAAGATGGCCAATGTACTGGAAACAATCAGTATACATCCCCATCCACAAAAAAGGTGACACAAAAGACTACAGCAACTATAGAACCATAGCTCTGATCTCCCATGCAAGCAAAATTATGCTCAAAATTCTGCAACACAGACTCCAACCATACATGGAAAGAGAAATCCCAGAGGTTCAAGTGGGGTTCAGGAAAGGAAGAGGCACTAGGGACCACACTGCAAATATACAATGACTAATGGAGAAGAAGACTAGGAATGGGAAGGGCAGCTATGAAAGAACTGGAAAAGATACTGAAGAGCAAAGACATACAACTGAGCACTAAAGTCAGAATTGTTCCGGCCATTGTATTCCCAATTACCATGTATGGATGCAAGAGCTGGACAGTGAAGGAAGCAGGCAGTAAGAAAATCAACTCATTTGAAATGTGGTGCTGGAGAAGAGTACTTAGGATACCATGGACAGCCAAGAAGACAAACAAATGGGTTCTTGAACAGATCAGACCAGGGTTCTCCTTGGAAGCAAAGATGATCAAGTTAAAACTATTGTACTTTGGCCACATAATGAAAAGGCACGGATCACTAGAAAAAACAATAATGCTAGGAAAGGTAGAGGGTAGAAAAAAGAGAGGAAGACCACAGACCAGAAGGATAGACTCAATCAGAGGTTATGGGGAAGGGCTTGCAGGATGTGGGCAAGATAGGGATTCTTGGAGATGTCTCATCCACAGGGTTGCTATGATGAGTTGGAACCAACTCACGGGCAGCTAACAACAACAAAATGGAGTGCCCCAAGGAATTACAAAAGAAAATCAGCTTGTGCTTTATAGACTATAGCAAAGCTTCTAACTGCATTGATCATGAAAGGTTATGGAACACCCTTAAAGACATGGGAGTGCCAACACATCTGATAGTCCTGATGAGGAATCTGTACTCAGGACAAGAGGCTACTGTCAGGACAGAACATGGAGAAACAGAATGGTTCTTGGTTGGCAAAGAGGTCAGGCAAGGCCACATCCTTTCCCCCTATCTGTTCAACTTGTATGCAGAACATATTATATAAAAAGTAGGCTTGGACACAGAAGGAGGAATGAAAATAGGAAGAAGGAACATCAACAATTTAAGATATGCAGAGGACATCATAATACTAGCAGAAAGCATCACAAACTTGGAACACCTGCTAAGGAAGATCAAGGAAGAAGTACAAAGGCAGGCTTATTGTTGAACATAAAGAAAACAAAGAAAATGACCACAGTGAATTTACACAAATTCAACCTAGACAATGAGGAAATAGAAATAGTAAAAGAGTTCTCATGCCTGGGATTAAACATTGATAGGAATGGGGACTGCAATCAAGAAATTAGAACAAAACTAAGAATGGGAAGGGCAGTTATAAAAGAACTAGAAAAGATCCTAAAACATAAAGATATAGAGCTGAGCATGAAAGTTAGAATAGTACAAGCCATTGTATTCCCTGTTATTGTGTATGGATGCAAGAGCTGGACAGTTAACAAAGCAGATAGGAAGAAAATCAATTCATTTGAGATGTGGTGCTGGAGAAGAGTGCAGAGGATAACTAGGAAAGCCAAAAAGACAAACAAATGGGTCCTAAAACAGATCGAGACAGAAATCTCCCTGGGAGCCAAGATGACTAAACTGAGGCTGTCATGAGAAGGCACAACTCATTGGAAAAAAACAATAATGCTAGGAAAGGTGGAAGGAAGCAGAAAGAGAGGCTGCATGCTAGATGGATGGACTCTATAAGAAGGTCATGGATATGAAATTACAGGAACTAAGCAGAGCAGTGGAGGACAGGGAGTCTTGAAGTTGTTTCATCCATAGGGCTGCAATGAGTCTGGATCAACTCCAAGGCAGTTAACAAGAGGATATCAAATAAAGACAAATGTTGCTCTTTACTCCCATCTTGTGGTTGTTTAGTTGGTTATTTGCATTGGTACCAGCTGATTCTAAACCACGTTGTTGGGGACGTTCAAATATTATTCTGAGAATAATTCAGAAAATGACACCATGTAGTGGGCATGGTTTATATTTATAACAAACAAACAAACAAAAACACAAACCCTGTTCCTTTAGCATAGCAACTTCCAGTTTGGAAAACCTTTTCCATTTTTGGACTTCAAGTGATTTCTTGGACATTTCCTCATCAACCTTAAGGCAAAACCTTCATGGGGCTTTCTCTGCAAGATTTATTCAGAGAGGGGTTGCCATTGCCTCTGAGGCTTTCTTGGCCAAGCAGGGATTCAAACCCTGGTCTCCAGAGCCAGAGCCCAGTGCTCAAACCATTACAGCACACTCACCCTGACATATTTTTTACTACAGTTTCCAACTGTAGTATGGGAACTGTAATCCAGAAAAACAAACTTGTCCATGCTGTGAACTTAGTACTGTCATAGGACCTTATCATATGGGGGAAATCCCGTGCAGAAACGGGATTTAAAAGGCGGGGAAAACCCGCAAAAGTGGGTAGATTTTCACACACATCGCTTTTAAAGTGGGCTTAACCTGAATGGAAAGTAGTCAAAAGCCGCTTCTTTTACTTTCGGGATTTTCCAAAAGTAAAAAGAAGCGGCTTTTGACTACTTTCCGTTCAGGTTAAGCACACTTTAAAAGCAACATTGTCAGAAAATCTACCCACTTTTGTGGGTTTCTTCCTATTTAAACCCCTGTTTCTGTACGGGATTTCCCCCGTGTGATAAAGTCCATAGAGAATTCTTCAGCCATTTGGCTATTCCAAGTGACAAGAGTTCCAGAGATTCAATAGGAGAGGGAGGGAATTTCTATTTCTTATCCCTTGGCTTTCAACCTGCTTTGTGTTGGTCTCCCTAAGTGTTGCAAAAACTTGAGACACCTCTCATTTGTGTCCCCCGGCAGGAACACCGACGAGCAGAACGGGCTGAACAACAACGTGTCCGCACTGAGAAAGAACGGGAGCGACAGGCCAAACTTGCTGTGAGTATTGCCATATTCCAGAATGTAGGGAGGTAAGGGTTAAATTCTAGTTCACAAAGGCTATATCTACACTGCAGAAATAATCCAGTTTGACACCACTTTAACTGCCATGGCTCAGTGCTATGGCATTCTGGGATTTGTAGTTTTGTAAGACATTTAGTCTTCTCTGGCAGAGCTCTAGTGCCACAACAAACTATAAATCCCAGGATTCCACAGCACTGAGCCATGGCAGTTAAAGTGGTGTCAACTGGATTATTTCTGCAATGTAGGAGCAGGGATGGAAAGAATATTTTTTATAAATGGTAAAAAACGATTTTTTTTTAGTGTTAAGGATCCCTGATAAGAAGAATCCTAGTCTAAGGAAAATCTTCAGATTTGGGATTGACTCTTCACAAAATTTGCAACCAGTTGTTTTGCACAGAAGACACTTATGCACAAAAATATTCCTTTTTTTTTTTTTTGCACAAGAAATACTGTTTTTTTTACACTACAAATGCTCTCGCAAATTCTGCACAAAATTCACACATGGTTGTTTTGCGCAGAATTTTTTTTTCCCAAAATACTTTCTTGCAATGAGAAGAAAATTGCTCAGATTACTTGTTGCTTCCTGCAAGAAGGAAATTAGCAAAGAATTACATCACTATTAAGAAAGCCAAAAGGAGAAATACACAGAAGAAACCTTTATGCAGATAAATTGCTCTTTCACTGCTGGGTCAGGACTCCTGGGCCAGCCCTATTATCATGTAAAGTGAAGTGAGCACTTCTAACTGATGTTACTGGATGGTGTGAGGAGGAGAAGTGCTGGGGAATTTCCACTGTCTTCTAATGCAGTCGAAATAATGTTCCATCACTGATTTAAAAGTATGTAGAAATGAGAGAGAGCACCATGCTTCATTTCAGGTAGCAAAATGTCGTGGACTGCTCTTAAGGGGTTCTGGGAGGTGTAATTCAGCCTAGCGGAAAAGCATTAGGTTGGGAGAGACTGGATTATACTCTAGTACAGGGGTCGGCAACGTTAGCTTACCTGGGGCCGGTCGCTGGTCCCCAGATCTTCCAGCAGGCCAGGGGGGGAATGGCTGTGTCTGTTCTCATGCACACGTGCGCGCAGCCCTCACCACCTCCATGCACGCTGCCGCCACCACGCCTCTGTGCGCGTCGCAGCCACCATTTTGTTTGCCAAAATGGCGGCCACGACTCGTTTGCACATGCACAGTACTCCTGCACGTGTGCAAACAAGTCACGGCCGCCATTTTGGCAAACAAAATGGTGGCCACGACATGCGCAGAGGCGGGAGCACACAGAGACAGGGGTCGTTGTCATCGGGGGCTGGCAGGGGCCGGTCAGCGGGGGTCAGCGAGCCGGGTGTGGCCCATGGGCTGTAGGTTGCCGACCCCTGCTCTAGTATGTGTCATAGTATTGGATATGACCAGTGCTATCACCATTTATATTGCTGGGTCTTTGAAAATATCTCCATTAATTTTTTACATAGTGAAAGATAAAGAAATAGGCCCAGCCCTGTAAAGTAAGACAAGCCTTACATAGAAGAAGGAATGTGAGCAGAATGAATGTGGCCTTTGTCACCCTTATATGTCAAGTTGCATCTGTGTCTGCTAAGAAATTATTACATATATAAGAACTATCCAACCTCTATTTAAAGACCTCCAAAGGAGAGTCCACCAAATTCTGAGGCACACCATTCCATTGTCCAACAAGTTTGCAGTAAAGATGTTCTTCCTAATGTTTATAGGGAAATCTCTTTTCTTGTAATTTGAATCCATAAATTCAAGTTCTACCCAGCTTTGTCATCTCTGTGCAGGCCTTGTTTTAAATAAGAATCATAATCCCCAAAGCCTCCAAGAAGCACAATTCTGTTTGACATCAAAATACACTATTTGGAGAAATGTGGGGAGTTGTGGCTCAATCAAATAACATTTCCAAACTTTTATGACTTTAGAAGTCATAAGTTCCAACACTTTTCTCAATGCAAGGACTCCTGTAATGTTGAATCAGATTTGGCAGACGCTTTACTGGTTTAGGAAACATATTTAAGTGTATGCTTCTCATGCTATCACCAATCTTGGAATTTATGGAGTTCAACTGTTTGAAGATCCCCTCTTTATGTAGGTTGTTTTGTATCAAATCTTTAGCTTGTGTGGCTAAAGCTGAAATACTACAAACTGGCATAAAATGCTGGCATCAGGGTGGAGTGGGGGCATGGTGACCGCACGCCCCAACTCCGCCCCAATGCCAATGCCATGCTGCCTGCCCAACTTCTGCCACTGCCATGGCAAGGGCAGCTTTTTGCCGCTCTAAAAAGGAGCGCCATTTTGCCATTTATTTTTGGCATGGCAAAGCGCCAGATCAGGTCCGCAGCATGCAAGGAAGGGCCAGCATGGAGCCGCTCCTTTGGGGCTGTCTGTTGAGCCCCTTAGTTTTCATTAGGTTGACCATATTTCCATGAGACAAAAATGGGACATTGGGATGGCAAAAATGGGACAGGGTTATATAATATTCTGTATTCATAAAAAAGTATGATAACAGAAAGTTTTATTACATAAATGTATTGAGCTAACAATTATTCTTCTTCAGTGACAGAACTCATGCAAAAATTTAGGTAGATGGTAGAGAGGGATTGTATTTCACCACAATTATGCCATGAATATTTCTCCGATGAAGTAATCTGATGCAACAAATTTCAGTCTTTCAACACCTTAACATAAAACTTCTCTCACTCCATGATACAATTTTGAGTGTGTGTTTTGTTTGTTTTGTTTTACAACCACAGTTTCATAGGGGGATTGGCAAACCATTTTTGCAACACGACAGGGCATTTTTCTTGAAAACAGACAAAATTGACATTTATATTAAAATGACGGGATGGTCTCAAAAGATGAAAAAAATGGTACTGTCCTGTTTAAAACGGTATATATGGTCAGCCTAGTTTGCACTCATTTAACTCAGCAGGAGGGAGAGGGGTAGAGAAGTGAAGTCTTGCCCTTTCTAAACTATACATAATTTTTAGGGTTGTTCTGGTTTTTTCGTAGTATTGGGTATTCCTGCTCATTATAACATTCAGTCTCTGGTTGCCTGACTGTGCTATTTTGATCATGCTCTGATGATCATGTGTCCTGGTTTTCATCTGTTCATCATGTTGGAGGATATGACTAAGAACAAAAATCTGATATGACTTGGTGACACCTCCACTCTATCTCTAGTATCCCACAAAGCTTGTCTCTATTGGGTAGCAGAAGTAAAGAATAAAAAAGACAAGAAAACTATGTACATTTGCATAATATAGTCAAACAGAGATATCCCCACTGACCTTTCCAGTCACTGTTGTTGCATTTTTAACCATAGTTTTGTTACATTTCCACATTAATCTAGTTAGCTATCTTAAGATGCTATTTAAAGATATATTTTGATGCATACTGAAATGTATATTCATGCTCAAAATGCATGTGTAAATGCAAAATTTCTATCAAAATTTGTATTTAAGTACACAAGTACACAGTTTATCTCAAAATCCATATCTGGATGTAGATTTTTCTCTCCGTAAACCTGCTTATTTTGAGCTGCCAAACATTGCATTGTAACATTTAGAGAAGTGCAAAATCTGTTGCGTAGGTATCTTCTACTCTACATGTTAGCCTGAGAATTGTGGATTAGGACTTTATATATAGGAATGTTCAAAGATGAGATTCTTAAGGTATCCATTAGCTACAGAAAGTGACTGTTGCGGGGGGGCGGGGGGACCAATGCAGAACTCCCGAAATCCCAATTGGCTTCAGGGATTCCTCCATCCCCAGTTCTGGATAATGGATTCTACTCTGTTGTCCTATACAGGAAGAGAAGATGAGGAAGGAGGAGGAAGAGGCTAAGAAGAGAGCTGAAGATGATGCAAAGAAGAAAAAAGTCCTCTCCAACATGGGTGCACATTTTGGTGGATACCTGGTAAAGGTAAGCTGCTTGGAGTTAGTAAAGGTGACAGTACAGTTGGCTCTCCATTTCCATAGATTTTTTATCCACTCATTCAACCATCCACAACTTGAAAATATTTTTAAAATATATAAATTTCCAAAAGCAAAAACTTGATTTTGCCATTTTATATAAAGGACACCGTTTTCCTATACCACTGTATTTAATGGACTTGAGCATCCATGGATTTTGGTATCCACAGGGGGTCCTGAAATTATTTGGGGATAATATGAGTTTTCTCTCCATGTATCAAAGCAGCTGTACCTGGTTCCACCTGTTTGCTCTTTGACTTTCTCTTTTTAGGCTGAGCAAAAGCGTGGCAAGAGGCAGACGGGTCGTGAAATGAAGATCCGGATCTTATCAGAACGGAGGAAG